GATGGTACTGCCCGAGGAAGGCCTTGCGGAATGCCTGCGCCACCATGAAGTCTACCCGGCCGTCTTGGTCGTAGTCAACCGCCAAGACGTTGTGTCCCCGCCCGTTGTCCGGTCTCGGAACTTCAGGGAGGTCCTGGCGGACAAACCCGGTGCCACCTTGGTTAATTAGCAGGAAGTCTGGTCCGTTAAACGTGGTGATGACGAGATCAACAAATCCGTCGTTGTTAAAGTCTTCGGCCGAGACGCCCATGCTGTCGGTTTCCTGCGGCACATTCTGAGCGATGGAGACGTCCTCGTAGACACCGTTATTGTTCATCAGCAAAACATCCCCGACATCCGGTACGCTCGGGGGCCCTCTTGGCGTGACGAGACTCGAGTCTGCACGCGCGAGGTACAGATCCATGAAACCATCATTGTTAAAGTCCAACTCGACGGCGGCAGAGATAGAACGACGTAGGAACCGAAGGCCCGGGGCTACAGTTGATGTAACGTCGGCAAACTGAAACGGTGCGATGAGTCTGAAGACTCGGAACACAGAAAAGTGGATCAGTTCCATTTTTCTATCGTTGTCAATATCTGTGACGATACCGCGCTCCTCATTCTCTCTTTCAAAGCCAGGAACCGCACGAAGCGAATAATTTCCACGAATGTTCTGGTAAGCGAAATGCACCAAGTTAGGGTCGTTTCCGAGCAAGTTGATGAACAACAAATCTGGCCCACCTTGGTTCCTACGTCGATCACGGCGGCTTTGCAATGACATGTCCATGAAAATGGGAACGCGCCCGCGGGTGACGGCCGTCCCAAACCCAAAGTCTGTAGTGATATCCTCAAATGATCTGCCGTCCATAGTGAGGAAAATGAAGGGCGGGCGAAGGTTCGTTCCTCGTCCACCACCTGTTGCAACAGCCATGATCTTATCCTTGCTGCGAGCAGAGCGCTGAGCAACGGCGACACCATGGATATCCGTCCTCAGGAAGAAGCTGGAGCGTACGAAAGTTCCCGCATTCGTTCCGTAGTAGATTCTCATGAATGTGTGGTAGGTAAGAATGAGATCGTAGTTGCCATCACCGTCGATGTCGGCGACAGTGGGTCCGCCAAATTGTTCGTTCTCACTGCGCTGCACGATTCCGGAGGAGGAGGTCACATCGACAAAAGTGGCACCGGAGGCAGCTGCAGCCACCGCAGGAGCAGAGCTTGCCGACGCACTAGGAGCAGCAACAACTGGCGTGGGCGATGGGATGGCCAACGGACTGGCTGATGAGGTCTCAGCTGCGGCAACCGGAGAAGCGGACGCGGTTGGGCTGAGAGTCTGTGCCGGGGCGCAGATTACGAAGGATAGAAAAAGAAGGCCGAGAGTGAAAGTTGGGCGATGCATTGCGGAAGGAAATGGAGTGTAATTGCTGAATTCCTGTGCGGCGGGGAGGACTGCTGCTTGTTTGGTGCTGTCCATGTAGTCATGCTGAAGCAAGTCGGTGGTTTATATAGCGTATTCTAAGCAGTCTGCGTGGGAGGCCGGAGGAGGATCATACTCTGTAGGCCGAAAGTGGTGTGCGGGAATGTAGTGTATGTGAAGTTTGCCAAAGAGGGATCGTCACGCGAGGAAAGGAGGACGATTCAGCCGGCGCTTACTGTCACAATGCGGTGACTGACGCGATTCGCGAGAGTCTGCGGCGTTTCCTTCCCGATGGGGCGCTGGCGATAGGGCGGGAGGACGGTGTAGGCTGGGTGGGCGGTATGGCCGGTGGGGTACGAAATCCACGTCAAGGCGGCCGCACCGTAATTGGACGAAGTAAGCGGCGCAATAAGGCTTCCCGTGCCGACTAACGTCCAATCGAGATCAGTATAACTAGAGCTTATACTGATCTTCGTTGCGGTATCATAGTTCCTCCGTCAGTTTGCTATCTTTCTAGTCTTTCTAAGCTTCTCGACGAATGCCTGACACGATATGCGCTCCTCACCTGCTCGAAACCTATGGCTGCCACTACTGTACAGTACTGGAGCTGCGGTATGGTACAGTATCCCCAACTACGTGTACTGTACATTATCCCACTGTACCAAAATCACTTCCCTTCGCTATTCGACTTTGTCACCCACCCTCTCATCCCTTTAAACTTTAAAGGACTACTTGTCCGACTTTTCTTGCCCTGTTGTACTTTTCCAACCATTTTGTATCTCCTCCACACTTTTGGCTCCATCTTATGACCTGCGATGTAACCTTTATAGCGGAAACAAGTCTAGGTGCAGCCCGCATGTTTTCCTACGCCTGAGCAGCGTGTACGTACGCTGCCCGCCCCTCCTGCGAGCCTGTGACTGTCCATTTCCGCCGCATCCGCTAATACGGTATGCTTCACAGTACAGTACCAAGGGTACAGTACTAACCATCGCAAAATGTACCCTTCGAAGGGTACCTTGCTCCCACTCTGCTCTGGTTTACAGTCAAACAATTGCGAAAACACGCGCCAGTTGTACCATGATGACAATTATACACTACACGTACAGTCGAGGGTAGCCATGACAATCGTCCCAGACGTTTACTCGTACCGCTCATACCCTAAGGGGGGTTGCCTTCTTCACCGTCCCGTCCGCGGTCCTCATCCCATGCACTTCATGTACTGATATCAGTACAGTACATGAAGTGCATGGGATGTGGGCTGATATCAATATCAGTACTTATCAATAAGTAACCTACAGAAGTACCGTACCCGGCGAACAACTAAAGTACTTTACTGTACAGGAGGGCTGCCACTTGGCCCTCTTTCCTCCATGCCATCCCGGTAGCCGGGCAATCAACCGGCGTTAACGCCGTCGCTCTCGCGGTAATACTGTACCGTTGGTACAGTAAAGTTTGCCTTGGGTACTTTACTGACCCTTTAGATTACAGACGTGCTACCCTGTACAGCCAAGCTTTTTCACTTTCACTGCATCGCGATGTCTCCTCGTTTGCCGTCCACTGTTTTTTCGCGTCGCTCACGCTTCTTTTTTACTGTTTTCGCAGCTGTGTTTATCCACACGTTGCTGCGCATCCCGAATCTCCTTTCTTACATCCGTTACTTTCGTTTGCGCAACAGTGCAAAGTAACTCTCTTCGACTCAATGGTCGCCACCTCGGACGCATGCTGGATAATCCTGTTTGTCATGCACAATTGCCCTTGACCCCTTCATCGTTTGAATTTACCCTCAAAGATCAAGTCTCCCTGTTGTTGGCCTTGTGCAATCTCGGCTCCCCCCACAAATCAAGGAATACGATTGTTGACAGTCGTACGTTTCTTTGTTGGCATTAGCGAGAAAAGCTTGCATACCCGCCATCCAAAGTCTGGGTACACACAATCATGCTGAGCCCTGTTCGTTCCATTGAAAAGCATTCGGCGCCCCCCGTTCCCCGTCCCCATTCCCCCTTTCTACCATTCCCCAGCTCTTCCATATTTGCGCAGCTATTCCTAACGAGAGGATGTCGGCGAACTTGCCCTGATGCGCCTTTTTCTTCTCTCCCTGTTCTCTGACTTTCGGTGAGCACTCCCCACATGGCCTTTCCGATGCTGTTTGTTTTTAAACGCCTTGGGACACTTATCGCATTTAAACGGGCGCTCTTTCGTGTGAATGTCCCTGAAATGCCTGTCCCTATCCGACTGGGCGTAAAATGTCTTATAGCAGGCCGGGCAGCTGAATGGCCTCACTCCCATGTGCACCCGGCGCATGTGCCGGTTGAGCTGGCCTTGCCCAGAGAACCCTCTGCCGCATATCAGACATGTAACCGGGCCGGGGTCTTGTTTAGGTTGAAGCGAGTTGGCTCGGGAGACGGCTGAAACAGGTGAGGCGATGGTTCGGTAGTGCCCGCCCTGGGACGTGAAAGAGGAGGTCGCGCGGGGAGGACGTTTGTAGACTTGGATGTAGGTGGAGGGGCATGCCTGGGCCCATATCTCCAAGCGGTATGCATGGTTTTCTTTGACTTGTATGAAGGCAGAGAGCGGTGCGGGATGGGACGTCTCGACGGGCGAGCGCTTTATTGCTAGACTCTTTAAGTCGTCGAAGGAAGGTACCGATGCCGAAGGAGGCTGGGGCAAAGAATGTATAAACATACCGAACGCCTGTCGGAAAAGCGTAGGATCATCTAAGAGCGACATCGTCTGGCGCCTTGCACCCTTTGGAGAAGGGAGTTCAGTGAGTAGCACAAGTGGCTTCAAATTGAGAGGCGAGACAGGCTCAAAAGTATTTCTACTCAAGATGTTCGCAGAAACACTTCCGTGCATACCCAGCGCTACGCCACCCACTGCCCTTGCGCTGAAGCCTGTGGCAGCGCAATAGGATCAGGTCGTGCCTCGAATGTACAAGGCCTGGAGCTTTAGGGACGGCGAAGACTGGCGGAGCCGTGCCGCAAGGCATGCTGGAGCGAGGGAACAAGCGAGTGTAGAGGGAGGCGGGTTCCACACGCGTGGGCGGCATGCAGAGTGCAGAGAGGCGGAATGACCGGTAAGGGAATGGGGCCAGTGCATGCTTTTGGGTGTTCCATTTCACACCACCGAGTGCGTGTACTGAAAAGTCTGGTGCGTTCATCGCCTCAGACGGGTGGTGCGGCAGTCATGCCTGAACTGTGCTCGGCATGATTTCAGAAAAGCAAACGACGAAAACTGCGGAGAAAGGGGCACGCAGCTTCGTCTCGTCGTCTCGAAGATCGAAGCATGTCGGAGCGCCTGTCACAAGCGGTACAACGAAAAGATCGATACACGTTCTCGGCTCGGTTCGGTTGTACGGTAGAGACATTATGCTCGGGCAAGGCCGTGTCCAAGGGCAGATTAGATCACGACCAGGCATCTTCGGGGGGCAATGCCTTTAAGCAGTTCCTATAAGTCCAGGATCAATTGAAGCTCGATGCAAAGCAGTTTGATTGGATATCTTGTCAACCCTCCAGCGATGTTCAAATTATGCGGCTCTCGTCAACGAGCGTTGGCCTTCTGTCCTGGAAGTCTGCAACCGCGATCGAAGGTCAGCTCTGAGACAGGCATGCTGACAAAGTAGTGACACTTTATTCCCAACCTTCTTCGATCAGAAATCATCTCACCAATGAGCTGAACTAACCCAACATGCGCTGGCAAGGTCCCAGCACTCCCTAAACGCTTACCTCCACCCGTGAAGAGCGGACGATATTGCGTCTTGTAAGGCACAACTTCCTTGAAGCGCTGGCTACACCCGTACTTGCAAGCCTTCCGATCAACCACGTTAAGCATCGCACTTCACCCGCGGAGCGCCTTCCACCGGCCCACGCCCGTTCGCATCATCTGAACATGCCCTGTACGCCTGCGTGGTCGACTCCCTCAGCGACTGCCTTCAATCGACAAGAAAGATATTTCCGCAGCTCTCACGCACAGCACAAACCGACCAGACTTTCTCCCTGGCCCTCTAAACCAGCGCCAAATAGAGACCGACTTTCTGCTGCGCAGAGCAAAACCGGTTAAACCACGCTGTCGGCAACGTTGCTGGAAGCGTGATTGCCACTAAAAAGCCACACTCCCGAACCTTCAAGACCTGTTCATCTGAATCCCGGGCACCTGACTACGCATCTTATCGAGGTACGCCTTCGCACCAATACCAACAATCGAAAGGCTCCCCCTCGTCTTCGCGAACCGTTCTTTCCATATCCGCTCTACGGCGCAGCTTCGGCACCTCATGCATCTCCAAACTGCATTATGCCCTTCTTCTTACTGTCGCGATCACCTCACGGACCCTCGTCCGGGTCGTCGCTGTGTTCAGCTCATAACGCATGCGACTCTCCTTCCCTTCTTCACCTGTTGGTCGAGGCACGAGGCGATTATCAAGAAGGCCTTGTGCCACCAAATGGATACCTCGAGATTAGTCAAAGACATCCGATAGGTGCCGCTTCACCTTATGCAAACGCTGGAGCACACCACGCGCTCCACCCCAATTAACCTGTTACGATCAATCGCGAAGACGGCCGAAACACAAGCGGCACTCAAAACCACCCGTGCCAGCCCATCCACACTCTGGGTCTGTTTCCTTGAAACACGGCCATCCTCAAGCGATGCACGTCCTCCCCTAATGCCCTCATTACATCGTTCCTATCCCGCACTGTCTCCTTCCAATCCGCCTTCTCCTCCCCCTCGACTCCGCCGCCCATCGGCGAAAGCTGCACGGGGGGTGACCCGCGTGCCACCAGAGCAACGTACCGCTCTAACGCCGCCTTGGTGAGCGCGCGTGCTTGCGCGCGCTCGATCTCGTCCGAGCCCTCGACTGCGGCTGTAGCGCACGCTTCTTGCGCAGAGGAGAGCAGGGATTGCGTGGCCACGGCTTCGCGATGAAGTTGGGCGGGGAGAGAGGAGAGGGGGCTTGGGAGGTTAGTGCACAGGCGGCGAGAGAGACGCAACATTCGAGGCACCATGGTTTGTGGGATTCCTTCTCGCGACAAAGGTGAGGATTTGCGATCCTAAGTGTCCCCTTGAGATGTGTGGTCCATAAGGAAGCATAAGGAAGTATCTTGCCGCCAGTTGCCGTGCAATAAATGGTTCTATCGAACGGTGAAAAGGACAGAAATCATAGAAAAAACGTTCAAATAATTTTGTAGTTTTGAAGAGCCACACCAAAAAACACGTGGCAGCGAAACGGGGGATGTCTCGATACAGACTGTAGTCACTGCAGTGCTTCTGAGCAGCATGTGAGCTCATAAGCACTGCAAATGCGCCTTTATTGCTGTCTTCCAAGAGTACAACTCCCTCAGTACGCAAGGCTCCGATGCAGGCCATGTCCACCCCTAATCCTACCAATCTTGCTGCTCTACGTATCACTTACGATGCTTTGTCTCCCTCTGATGCCTCTCCAACGCCGTCCCCCCCAAAAATAGCTCCCCACATCGACATCGCCAGTAGTCCCTCTTCCCGTGTAAGCTCTCAAAATGCCGCTTCAAGTTTTCTCCCCTCGCGAAAGTGCTATCGCAGCAAGGGCATTGAAAAGACCTTCTTCTCTCATGCCCTTCCTTCACATGCCTCCTCAAAGTATCCTTACACCCGAGCTCCTTTCCGCAATACGCACACACATACTTGCCATGCTCCGCTCGCACGTGCCCCATCAGCTCTATCCGCGTCCGCGTCCGTACCCCGCACCGCTCACATGAAAATGATCCCTCCCGTCTTCTTTTCGGAGACAGCGGCCGTACTGTTGGCACCTCACGCAGCGGCGCCAACCGCACTCCATCTGGAGAGTAGCGCGCCGTCTGGGACGTCGTGCGCCGAAGCGCTGCCGGCGTGTCAGACACCCGCGCCCGATTGGAGGGGGAATGGGCCGGTAGCAGTTGTCGAGAGCTAAAGAACTTGCGCAGCATCATGTCGGGAGACGTAGATCACGACTTGAATGACAATGTAAGGCCGGACAATGAGGGAGCGCCCCGCTTATATACATTCCGCGATCGGAGGTGGGCGGCCTTGCCAAGAACATGCGGGCGAAGAGTCGAGATGCGTGTGCTGGTCCTGCTTGCACGGTGCCCATGTTGTCAGGACCGCCTGGCCTTTTTAGCAAATGTGTAAACAGCACAGCCGCCGCCGCGAATCAATAGCTTTTGTTGACGTCTGCCCGCGAGTCTCTTAACAGCTAGTTGAGATTGTGCCCGTGTTTTGCACTTGCAATCCATATGTCGCACGCGCAGTCTCACTTGCGCCGCAGGTGCCGACCCTTGCGACTTCCCTTCCCAATTTTCGCTTAATTGTGGCCTGGCTCCTCCGTGGAAGTCTAGGTCGGACCGGCCACGGTGGACGGGGATGGCGCTCGGTCCAGTACTTCGCGCGCACTAACTACGATTTGAAAAGGGATAGACAGCTCAGCAAGACAATGGGCCTTGTAACAGGATGGAGGCTGCGCGGAAAGCAACGGTGTTAATGCTGTTGTCCAGTTGCAATTGTCAGGTACTTGCGTAAAGAGGGCCGGAGAGGGGAGAGGAGGGGGCGGGCGGAGACCACCATTCGAGAGCAAAAAAGGTACGTGGAGGACAGAAGGTGGCTGGCGGGGACTATTGCGTTGAGATGACGGAACTAGGCATGTTTACTGTGATTTTATCGATTTGCTTCGGCATCAGAAAGAAAGAACCCAGCTCTAGCCAAAGGTAGGCGTAAGATTACTTTTTATAAGGCGTTCTATCATTTCCATGGGACTAAATGTGGTTGCCACGAGCACCCAGATCCTTTCCCGGTCTAATTGCCACCCAACGATCGTAAAAAGAGGTCTCACGCCTAAAAATGGTCCCTTCTTTAGAGATAGTTTTAACTATTAACTAGTCATGTCACGAAGCAGCTAAACGCATCAAATTATGCTCTGTATTCGTTCTGAGTAGAAATGGGCTCAAAAGCCCCCAGCATAGTCTCCACTGTTCAACTCAGTTTCGAAAAGGCATTAGGACAAATGCCTTTGCTGGAAGACAGGTCTTTCCAAGGCAACGAGGGGAAGGATGTGTTCGTATTACTTATAGAGCATTAAACTAATACAATGTTCTCCCGAACTCGATATGTAAACATGTTTGTTCCCGGACACAAAATCGCCGCGACCAACCTCGCTCGCATTTCTCCTTTACTCTACTGCACCACATGTCCAAGATCCTGGTTGATAGGAGCATTTGCGATACGGCATACCTCTGGCGGAGAATATAATGATCCTAAGGCAAACTTTATTGGCGGTATCAACAGGACATTCCTTGATATAGCTCGTCGCGCTTTTAAGAATTTTCGGCGGATTTGTCTCCAGCCAAGATAATATATCCTTTTCATTACCTATACACGAAGGCTATCTAACTCGGAAGATTGGAAAAACAAACGATTGTGTAAATATAATACTGCATATTTTCAGGTATGAAATCATGTTTAGAGCAGAAGGAGACACCTGACTGAAAGACCCCAATGTGGGTGAGAGGCAACAGCTTAGTGCTCATCGTGTAACACGTTCATTCAGCGGCTGCCTGGACTATTCTAGGTTTTACGTAGATCGGAGTTATTTTCTGGTGGCAGATTAGGGGCAGATCGGAGCCTGGCTCTTACTGGGTCCCTCCGAAATCCTCAATTTGAGGGGAGGGCAATTTGATCAAATCGCATTCTGAGCACCACGTAACACCACTCAAATCCAATACAGTACCAACGGTACTGTATTCAAAATGCGCTGATACTAAATAATTCGAGAAAGGTTATGCCATAAGTAATGAGTAGAACATCACTGCCAAAACCTCCAACCTCTTTAAAATATCTCGCGCAACAGAAGATGCCTGCAACTTCCATTTTCTTGATCCTTCTCCTTTTTGAACATGCGCCAAGAGGCAGAGCGTGACAGATCGCACATATGTCACCGCATTACAGCGCATGTATTTCAGTATAAATACGACCAGAATAGTACGACCACGAAAAGGTGGAGCGACATGGGTCTCCCGTTCCAACAGGTTATGGCTACCATCCGCACCACGCGCACGAACTAACAACCGCTACCCTCCGCCCACCCACCCTCTCCCACAACGGATCGCCCGCTCCAACCCAGAAGGCTCACCCGCCAATCTTATCATCAAGCCCTCGCGTATATACAAGGGGGTAGCCCCACAAGTTGAACAAATCAAAGATTTTAAAAAAATAATATCTTTTAGACGTCCGTTTTGAACAAGATTTGAATTTCTTGAAGCGTGGTGACATATTGTCAAGCTTCAAAACCAGTATGGAGAAACAATGGTCTCAATGCCAAAAGAAGCGAATGTGAATGAACAACAAGTTGCCAGTTCTGAGGGGCCCCTAATCTGAACAGCCAATTTATTGGCTACTGCAAAAAACATGCAAATGTTTATTTGAATTTCGATCCCCACTGCGGCAACAGTTAACCCATCAACTGATTCACAGCCTTCACACAACGGCAATTGTTTCTTTCTGCTGTCCGACGTTTCGCCACCATGCGGCGCTCCAACATCGGCCGTAGCAGCTTGCCTTCCACTCCATAAACAACAACCCGAAAATTCATTGCTTTGCGTTGGAAACGTAGTCGCTCTCGCCTTAATCTTTCACAAGCGATGGCTTCGCACTCTGCTTTGTCGGCCTCCTTTCTTGCTAGCTCTGCCTTTCTGGCTTTGTCCACCGCATCCTTTGCCTTGGCTTTTTTTAAAGCTTCTTCAGACGTGAGACATAAGCCAAATGTAGTATCAAGGAACCCGTTCCTTAACACCACAGGCTGCAAACCGATATTCTTCCTCCGCTTCTCCCGCTTATCTTCCAATATTTCCTCAATATCTACTGGCGAGATCAATTCATTTGGAGGGGAAAAAGACGTGAGAAGAAAGCCACGGGCAGAGTACCTGTTAACGAGGTCCACAATGACATTTTCTTCGTCAGCGGTGAGGTACGTTCGGCTGATCTGCTTCCTGTCCTTGTGCATTAGGCGGTACTGAAACGTGGATAACGGCATACGCGCAATTAACGAAGCAAGACGTCTATCCACACCCTTGTCAACTGCAGCAAGAGCCTTTTGAAAGCATCTCTCGTGCTTCGACATTCGTTTGGCACGACCCATTGTGAGTTGACACCCGATTTCTAACACAGTCTGGAGAGTCTGGGAAGGTCACCAAGGCTTCAATTTGCACTTATATGGAGCAGAACACATCTAATTAAGTGTTTTCGAGTACGCAGATATCGAAAAAGCGCGGCAAAATGTTTGATTTGGATTCCCCGCTCATTTATGGGCCTTTTTTGTCTCCGTCACATCTTTGACATGCAATAACAGCATTGCTTTTGTTTATTTGCTTTAAAATCTGATATTTTTCGAGTTGTTCAACTGGTGGGAGTCTTGTGCAAAAAGTGGGGGCACCCCCTTGTACCAGCAGCGTCTCCGGTTGCCTCACGATCGGCCTCCGTCGCCGATCCCGAAGCCGCTTCTCACTCGGCCCCCGTCGCCGATCCCAAGCCGCCTCCCACTCGGCCCCAGCCGCCGATCCCCAAGCCGCTTCTCACTCGGTCCCCCGCCGATCCCCAAGCCCCCACCTCAGCAACCACGTCACTATCTGATATCGACAAGCAGGACATACCGAAGCTAGATCCTGCCAACCACGGCCCCTGGCTTCTAGCCCTACGCTCTGCCGCCTACATAACCGAATCATCCCAGCACATCACAGAAAATCCCCTACTCCCTCTGACGCCAACGCCCTCATATCATACCAAAAAAGAGGCACTCTATCTTGGGGAAGATATTATCATCTGTTCCATCGGACATACTCAACCTTCTTCTGACCCCCTCGGATGACCCCACCCCATACGAACTCCATACGAAGATCATAACCCATCTTGACACCAACGCCTCCGACCATGAATACCATAAACAAGAGACAGAACAGTGCAAGTACGCCCCAGGCATGTCACTCCAACAATATGTTACGGCCAC